AAGGTTAATTTACTGGAGAAATATGTAAATGTAAAATGTAAGAATTGTTGCTCAAGGAGTTAAACTTTTTTTATGTTTTTGTAATTTGGAGACTATTTTTGACTGAATTTATTTACTTGAGAAAAAGGGGCAGCTATAATAAGATTTTTTCTTCTTCTGCTACCTTTCCTTTCCTTTATGATTTATATTTTTATTGCATATTGAATTTATGTTGTTTTTAAAGAAATTATTACATTTAAAAAAAAGTAAAAAAAATCTGTCTATGAAAGAGGCGGACCCTGAATTTGGGCACAGCCCTCGTTTGCTTCGGCTAAGATCGGTTAGCTGAGGGGCCATCTTTAATCGGCTCCAATTTTTACTCAAATCTAATTATTTTCTGAGAGTTTCAGCGAAATATACTCAGCGAGACATTTTGATGATAGTGCTAACAAACAAACGCACACTCATCCTCACCTTCCACTCTGCAGCTGGATGTGCAGCGTGGTGAACGGCTCCATTCGGATCATGTAGTGCATGACTCCGGCTGCGTTGGAGTAGTGTGTGCCATAGTGGAATTTGTCGATGGTGCCTGTCGGGTCCTCGAAGCTCTCATACCTAAAACAAACAAACAGACACAAATATTAGGATTCCTGCAGCAATCCTCACGCCTCGTCATGCTAGCGTCCTTACTTTTCTTTGACGCACAGCGCGTGGCGCGAGTTGACCACACCTATGGGTTTAGACAGGTCTCTGAAAACCAAGGGGTCCTCCAGATCCAGGACGGAGGAGGTGTAGTCACACAGAACCCAGGGGAACTGCAGGGGGAACAGAACACACAGCTGTGTGAGCGAGCTCACGTTGGCTGAACGTACACAGACGTGACGGCGGGCTCACCACAGGGTACTGAGACAGGTCGTTGTACGTGCGCCCGGCGATGGTGTTCAGCTGCATCAGGTACTCGAAGTTGGAGATTTCTCGACAAACCCATTTCTGTCAACGTCAGGTGGTTAGGTCAGGTGGGTGAAACGAAAACGAGGCAGAAAATAATAAATCAATCAATCAGAGACCTGAGTGAGGCCAGAGGCCTTCAGGAGCTCCTGAGGGGAGCGGGAGCCAAAATAAAACAGGTTCGGGGGTCGCAGGCCGAGGATCCTCGAGTACACCTTGTTCCGTACCTGAAAGAGGGGAGAGATCAGGAATTTTACAGCTTTTAGCAGCTTTTGTTTTATATAATTACTAGGGATGCACAATATATCTGCATTAATATTGGTATCGGCCGATATTGGTCATTTTTTAGAATATCGTTACTGGTTCGATATGTAAAACTGGGCCGATATTAACATCCGATATTTATTTCCCACTTTTTAACTTTGTGTTTCTGTTTTGGGAGGAATAACTGAAGTAGAGAGCCAAGTCAGAAGTCTGGTTGTTTATTTACAATATCAAAAAAAGACACAAGTGTGTTTGTGCGTATATATATAATATAATTTGTGTGTTTGTGTAAACATCGGTTACACAAAGTAAATAATCGGGAGTTGGCTGTCATGATTAGAACTGATTGTTGGGTTTAGAGTGTTGACTTTTAGTGTTTTTGCAATTAATGTGTCAAAACTTTTTATAGTAGTTAATTGAGAAGTTAAAAATAGCTTTTGGTTTGTTTAAATATAAATATTGTCTGCAAAAGGTTTTTAATTATTAGGGAGCGTTGCTGCTTTACCTGTATAATTAAAATTGTTTACAA